CGAAATATGCGATGTAATAAAAATGGCTATACTATGCGAGATACTATGATACTAAAATAAACTAGACCAAAATAAAAATAAAAGAAAGTCTTGAAAGATACTTGAAATTTTATGAGTCCATCAAATGACGAGATTATTCCAGTGTATAACGTTTTTTATAAATGTATAGCAAAATATAGCTTGCTCGGATCGTTACTTGCGTGAAAAATACGGTCATACTATGTCTCATTAGTCCAGAACGTTGAGCTACAGATTTTTTTCAAACTGATTTCCTACTTCTATTTTCAAGATTATAATTTTTTAAAATATTAAATACATTTAATAAATTCATTTATTTCATATAAATAATATTTCAGAAAATGTATCTTCACAATAATTTTGTTGTTATTTTTAGAATGTATTTTTTAGTTTTAGTATTTACATATCTTTTCTGTGCGTCTTTTTATATATATATAGTTTTCACAGACAAAAATAAAATGATAGTTATTTTTATCAAATAACTTTAGAAGAAATTATATATTTGTAACAAAATAACCGTTTTTAGCAACGAAAGCATCAACCGCATTGAAATGTAATTGCGAAAAATATTCTTGCACAGAAACAAAAAATACTACTCGCCAATGTCGTGTAGCTACTACGCTTGCAATTTACTTATATTTGATTTACTAACATCAAACTTTCGCTTTGATACTATTTAAAAGGTAATAGGCACTCAGTGCATATCTGTCAAAATAAAAAATTTTTGAAAGCTAAATCAGTTTCTTGAAACTTCTGACACAAGCTAAAAAATATTTCACAATTTTTTCGCGCATGCTATGAAATACCCAGCAGCTTTAGCAATGTCTATTGTAATTATATACGGTTTTCCTAAAAAATATTAATGATTAATGCGAGCACATTCTCGAATACATCTTCGAATATTTTAATGAAGACAAAAATGCATAAGAAGATAAAAAATTAATTCAAATATATTGATTTAAAAATTAAATACTAGAAACGTTGACTTCGTGAAACATTTCGTAAAATATTGGATAAAAATACACATATTTGTATATACACATATTTGTCTAACAAAAGAATTGGTCATGAAAGCAATACGTAATTTTTATATAAGTAGACTAGTAAGTACGAACAAACTTCAGGATCGGACATTAAGGGTGCCGTTATCAGTTCGTGATAACAAAAGACAAGAGTGTCAAAGGTAAGTCACTTGTGGCACTAGAAAATAATCATTCATTTCCTTCACGCTTCAAGCTTTGCACACACGCACGCGGCAACACTAGCTTCCTGCATCCATGCATTTCTGCAATCATTGTAATTATTGTTGCTTGATTTATCGTTGTTACTGTTATTATCACTCTCTCTTGCATCACGCAATTGGTCGTCTTTCTTTGTCCTTGTAACGCTCGAGTTGCGACTGTCCGTATCGCTCCGCAGCGCACGACGGAAACGCGTGTGTTGCGGAACCGGCTTCTCAGATAGAATGACCGAGGACGAGTCTTTCTGAACAATTGAAGAGTTCGCGATTATTCGAATCTATTTTCAATTTAAAAAATCAAATAGTCATAGATTGCTATTGGTACGTTGCAATTAAATTTTAAATTTTAAAATAATACGATATCCGAACTTATATTCTTATCGTACATTTACATGTAATTGTTTATTGTTCACTATTACTTACAAGTCTTGTATAAAAAATAAATAAAAAATTGAATATAATTAATATAAAATAAAATATTTGGTACTCCATAAGAATTATGGATCGCAGATATCTATTATAAAAGAATAAAGTATAAAATTAATAGTATAAAATTTAAAGTGATCCATATCTAGTAATTCACGTATTAAATGTTTTTATTTCTTAAAAAATTTAATATACTCAAAGTATGTTAACGGAAAAGATATTTTTAATTGCATTATCATTGTTTTTACTTTGATTAAAGTGATAAATCCCTCTAATCTGATAATCTTTAGTCTGATTTCTTTTAAAAGTTTATTTATTCAAGTATGCAATCAAACACAACAGTTACCACAACCCAGTTTAATTGTCTGCAGAAAATGATAATTTTAAACGGTAATTTTACATTCAAAAAGGCAGTATGTTAACTATTGGAAATCATATTACAGAACAAAGAGAAGCCGTAAAAATCAAAAGAAAATGCTAAAGATAGCTTGATGCAAGTATAATGTTACTATTTGCTTATCGTGCTAACGGCTTCTATGTTGTTATAAATTATTTGTACGTTTTAACCGGATTAGAGGCGCGACATGCCGCTAGCGCCAGGCGTGTGTGATTATTCGCCGCCATTTTGTTTTAGGGAGAGAAACAGGATGCCGACAGCAGCCACTGCCGAGGAATCTGCTCTATTGGGGTAAGTTTTAATAGGGAAGAATTATCAGACTACGTAATCAGTATTATTTTTCATATCTCTTGCGTATCATACTTAATCGTAGCTTCAGTTCATGCTAACGCGTAGATGCGTAGATGCGTAGTAAGATTGATAGGATTAATACTAGGTAATCTATATTAACGTCTATATTCCAACGTATCAAGAATATATAAACCACACTTTTATATTAACTTTGTCCATATTTATCTATTCTGAGTTACTTTATTCTAATAATACATAACTTTATTAATTTGACATGAAACATACAGGAGAAGCAATAAAATTATAGAAAATTGTTATATATTAATACATCATGTAGAATAACAAATATTTTGAAATTATAATTAAAAAAAATAATGATTAATGACAAAACATCTTTTAATGTACAAATTGATTTAAATATATTTTGCCTTTAATTCTTGCGATATCTATAATAAACATATGAGATCTGACATTTAATGATTATAAAAAAAATGATTTAATGTATTATGTATGATATAAATTATCAAATGTGTTAGAATGTTACGATAATTTTTACATCGTCATGATAAAATATATAGCGCAAATATTCGTTGAGTTTTTCAACTGCCATGGACAATTGATATTGACCTTAATGTGCGCAGCACCGAGTGACCACATCATAACTCGCAATTGTGTTATTAAAAGTGTTATGTATGCGACTTTTAGCAGCGCAACTACGTAATAATTTGTAAAGGTCATCGGCAAGCACACGAAGATTATATGAAATATGATTGACTCATGTAATATAAATGAGCAATTGTAAAAACAGAGCAACTGGAGATGTGGACATACTTCTAGATTTTACCATAGATCATACTACGCGTTACATAAAAGTAACGACACAATACATTATCCTAAAGTAGCAAGAAATACAGCCGCAGTATAATATGATAAAGTAGCCATATTGTTCTTCTATTATATTATATTGGTTTAACAGCGTGGCTTAATGTGATATCCAGCTGCTATTTAGAGCTGTGACCTATATTGAAGAGGCCCGCCGTGAAGTTTAATTATTTAAAGCAGTTTAACGGAAGTTTGTAAACTTTCAACACATACACACACACACATACACACACACAAAATTTAAGCTATTTAATCGAACTACTTCATGATTCTTACAAACTCGCATCACTGTTAATGCCGCTTCCTGATTTGAATGTAAAGTACAAAGTTGAGAGATCAAGTTTTGCTCTAAGACTATCACATTTTGACAAAGTTTCCTCAGATTTTTGAATCATATATTACTATCATACACTTTTATAGACTCTGACAAAAAATTGTTACTTTATAAGTCTAAAGACAAAACAAGTTTTCTCCTTTGTCGTAATCCAGTTTTTACTCACTCATTTTCTTACTAAAAAAATGATAAATAAAGTTAATTCAATATTGTTTCATGATTCAAATATTTATATTAGCTTTATATATAAATAAGACGTTTTATTTTTTAAATATTAATTATTGTTTCAGTTTTAAAATATGTAATAATACATGGCAAATTAAAAATTTCTAATCTAAAAATGAAAATCTAACGGTATACAAAATAATTAATAAATAGAAATACATCCGCTGCATAATAGTTTCAAGTTATTTTTAACATAGGCGAACTGGCCAATCACAGTTTTTCATGAGTCTTGACCAACGTGTCCCGTTATCGTTAATTACATTTTTACGTTAACACATACTAACTATGCGACGTTTCGCAATTTAGTTCATGACATTCGAGTGTGAATAATAAGTTACCTACGCATACACTCATGGAATATATTTCAAGAAAAGAAAACCAACATTACTAACCAACATTTATAATAATAATAATTTGTAATAAACTCAAGTGAGTATCGTTTATTATTGCAATAAAATTTTCTCGTTGAAAATATGTCAATACATTAAACAAACAAATTGGATGAGGTTTAACAACACATAACATTCCACGTAATAGCAAGCTTAGGAGCTTTCTGAGGTTAACGACGTAATTCTACTTCATTACTTCTCATATTAGTCCTTAGACAGAGAGGTTCTACTTGTTGGGAGGGGGGGGGAGGGGAGAACGAAGCCATATGTCTCTCTTGACAGATCCTCACAACAAAGTAATTAACGCCGAAATTAGAATTAATTAGGAAATAATTGAGGTCTCCATACAGATGGTTTATTGTTTAACGACGTTGTGTACGTTGTTTTACAACAATTATTCTTAAACATTTATATACTTTGTTAATTTTAATACCGTCTTAAATACATAAATAACTAAATAAAAAATAGAGTTTCACTTTTAAGACTGTATTTTATTGAATTCTTAGAATACAATATGTATACATATATACGTGAAATTAATTTTAAGAAATTTTTAATCTTTTTTGTAATAAATAGTATTTAAAAAATATTATGTGTAAATAAGCAATATCAAATAGAAATATTCTATTTATAAATATTATAAATAGAATGTGCCTTATTATAAATTTAATAATTAAAAAAGAATTAATTGGATTTTTTATCTATTATTAATTTAAAATGGTTATGAAACGATTATTCGTGAGGAGATTTATACATATTAAGTCCAATTTTTTAAGCTTATTGATTAAAATATTTTTAACTAAACTTTACATCATAAATTTGTCATCGTATGACTTAAGTATTTATTAACATGCACTTTATAATAACAAAATTTTATAATAAAATTTTATAATAACAATAAAAATATCTAAATATTGTTTCAAATTGTTCATAATAATTATTGATAACGATATTAATATTTATATATAAGAGATCGAAAATTGAATTAAACAAAATAAAAAGTACAAATTTATATGGAATATTAGAAGTACTTATTTGTTATTAAACTCTTACTTGTTATTAAACAAAATTGATTTTCTTTCACAAGTTTTTCTCTTGCACTAATCATGACTTCGCAATTTACAAACTCTATCTTATACATAAGATGAAGCGTGTAAATTTCTTTTTAACAGGTCACTGCTTTTTGCATCATAAAAAAAGCATATATCGATCGAGGCAATCTGAGTCACTAATATAATTTTTTATTAACAAATAGAGAACATTTTATTAATTGTCGTCTTTCTTGATATTGATTTTATTTTCATTTGTCGAAAATTATTTTTCATTTATGTTCAAATGTCTTCTTATTTTGAATAAATGTTTGTATCGTTTGTTACTTAAAACAATGATAAAATACTTTGATAGGAAGTCGAAGTGTAACGAGTGCTATATGATGTGATCGCCGCATACATATTTGCTCTACTTTCGCTTGAAATTCACTCAACGTGACTTGGCATTGCGCCAATTCTGCCTCAATCGACCTCATACTGACTTCAAAAGAGCTTTATATTTTAATAAAGTTAAACGGCAATTGATACATTCGAGTTTTCCTATTCGAATTAACACACATTAGCTTCACACATACACATATGTATACACAGATATATATGGAGGTAGATAGAAATTGAATGGTAACATTTTATGTATACCGCACCGAAGAATCAAAGGTAAATGAATTAAATTTTTCATTGCAAGTGATGCATGGAATGAACAGTTATTATAACCCAGCTAAAGCAACATGTAGAAATTAGTCTGAAAACCCTTTGTAGAGATGTGCATTAATCTAAAACAATATTGCGGCTTGCGAAGATGAATTTTGAATCAAACAGACTGTTAATCATAGTTAGTTCACTCTTTGCTAGAAGTCTGTCTAGTTCAAATAGTCGGTGGCTGGGCACGGCTCTATTTACAGCGTGTTCTGCATCATGCTTACGTTTGCGGTAGATAAAGATTTATTTGCTTGCCTTGGTTCACAAGGGACGGAATAACGTAAGTCGATCTTCATTGCACGGTTTTACCTTACAACCAGCAATGACGATGAGAAAAATCTATCTACGCACTTCGGTCAATCGATCGATAAAAAGGATAGCAAGATATCAAATAGCAGCATATCCAATTGGTCCATTATTTAGCTATAGATTGCCTTTTATCACTTTTAATCTATCTCTCAATAGCGTTATTTATTTTTAATTGATTTCTGCAGCGTTATTTATTTTTAATTTTGAAAATAATTATACATGAAATTTATCTTAAATAGATTCAACAAACGTTACCTTTTATGAAATTTGCTTTAATTATATTTAAGATAAAAAAATAGACTTTTAACGAATATAAAAAAGCAACTTGCAACTTTGCTAACAATTTTTATAATATTACAAAATGAATACACTCCAACCATATACATCTTTTTTAAATATAACCTTGGTAAGTGTACGGAAATAATTCAAATGTTTCCAGTGACACGGCATACTTTTTCGATAAGAAGAAGAACAAACGAGTATTGCGTAGTATTGCGTAGTACGAAAAAAGAAAAATAAAACATGAAGAAGAGAAGATAAAAAGTTAGCAATCTAAACTCACAAGTTATGTTGGATAAAAAATATCCAATTATTTGTATTGCGGCTAATTTATGTTTATAATATACTCCAAAATCTGTAATTTTATTGTTATCCAGTTTTATTTGCCAATAATTTTATATTTGAAAAGCTATTATATATTTCTCATCAAACTCACATTTTACTTCATCACTTTGTTAAAGTGCGAAGGATTTTTATTTTAAAGTTGCAAAATGTGAGAACAGAATTCAACCTCGAGAGATATTGCACGGCTCTTTTTCTATTTGGATGAATGCTTTCAACGAGCCAGTTGAATATTCGCATTGTGAGATATTCCTCGAAAGTAGGATTTCAGGTTGATCCGAGCTTAGCCAGTCCTTTGTCCTACGAATTCTATCACCTATCACAGAGGTGGTACAACTTCTCAGTTTGAAATATCTACTTTTATTTGTTCGATTTTCTATGATGAAAATGACTGTGACGAAAACTGACAAAAGTTAGTAAAATATGGGAAACAGTTCGACTGGATTATTAAAATTACTAGAATTCTTCTAATTCTTTTTTGTTAAAGAAAGA